CCAACTCAAAAAAAAAAAGATTTATGTCCTAGTATTTTTTTTTTTTTTTGAGTTGGAGTCTCACTCTGGCACTCAGGCTGGAATGCAGTGGCACGTTCCTGGCCACCACAGCCTCGACCTGATGGGCTCTGGTGATCCTTCCACCTCAGCCTTCTAAGTAGCCGGAATTACAGGCATACACTACCATGCCCGGCTATTTTTTGATTTATTGTAGAGACAAGGTCTCACCAAGTTGCGTGGGCTGGTCTCAAACTGTGGGCTCAGGCAATCCACTCGCCTCGACCTCCCGAAGTCCTGGGATTACAGGCTGAGCCATTGAGCTCGGCCAGTCCTAGTATTCTTGAGCAAAGAACTTGGGAACCACTGTGCTTAAGCTTTGAGCTGGCTCATGGAGGAACTGGAGTAGGGAGGTGGGAATGTAGGCCACCTGCAGGGGCTTACCCTGCTTTCTCTCTGACCTCTGCCCTGTCCCAGGCTCTACGGTTTCAAGATCCATCCGATGGCATACCAGCTGCAACTCCAAGCCGCCAGCAACTTCAAGAGCCCAGTCAAGACGATTCGTTGATTCCCCACCCCACCAGTCCCTAAGTCTTTGACTTCTCCTTTCCTTTGCTGCCACCCTTTCAGGAACCCTTTATGGTTTTTAGTTTAAATTAAAGGAGTCATTATTGTGGTGGGAATATGAAATAAAGTGGAAGAAAAGACCATGAGCTAGTCTGCTGGTGCTTGTGGTTGGGGAAGGGAAGGTGGGGATGTGTTGGACCCCAGGGGCCCTGATGGCCCAGCCCACCCTTCCCAGGTTAAAAACCAGGATAGATTTGTGCCCAGTGGATTTGGGTATTGTCTCTCGTGTAGAGCAGAGCAGAATTCCTAGGACTTGGGAGTGGGGAAGTGCAAGGTCAGAAGGAAAAGACAAAAATCAGGTTTTAAAGACTAGAAAAACACTCTCTTTAGTTACCTATGACTGTTTATACTGTAAGGGGCTTAATCAGCAACACCATCTTTTAGTTTTGTTTTTAAAGGGAGAGAAAATAGTCCTAAAGTAAATAGAATTATAAGGGGTAGAGAGAGGAGGGATAAGGTCCAGAATTGCTGCTTAGTGGTGTCTGTGTGCCTCCTGCTGGGGGAGCTGAGCCATCATCTCAGAAGGATGGGGTCGCTTGGTTCCCTGACTAGTTTCTCCCAGCACAGTGAGGGGAGGGGGTTGGCCCTGTTGTGTGGGGAGGATATTAGGTGGTGGCAGACATGGACACTGATCTATGGGCTCTCAAAGAGAGGAAATAGGTCTTTGGGAGGCATGCAGAGCAAAGGTAGGCAACTGGATAAAGACCTAGGTGGTGTCAAGGTATTACCCTTTCTGAGCCATTGCTCCCACACTAAGGAAACAGACCTTGTGGGTGAGGACACACTGTCCCTCCTGCCAGGTTAATAATTTCCTCCCCAAGCCAGGGTCCTGCCCCTAGCAGGAATATAGCTCTGCACTTACTGGGAGATCCAGCTCTGACTGCCTGTCAAAACCACCCTGCAGCTCAGGATTAAGGAGTGTGATCAGAGGAAGGTGGGGTTTCAGGGTATCCCTCAGGAGCTACCCCTCCTCAGAATTCCATAATGAAGGCCCGTATGCTTGTAGGTGTGCTGGTCATGGTGGGCTTCGCAGTAGGAAAGGGTAAGTGGGGCCCAGGGGAAGGGAGGAAGGGATGACTGAGTCTAGGAAAGGGGTGGAGCTGGGCCCTAGATACTTGGGCTTCCTACAGGGCAGGGTACTTGGGAGTGAACCAGTGCTCCCATCCTTCCTTCTGCTTCCCCAGCTCCTGTTCCTGAAGTCCGTACCTGCCACTTCTGTCTTTTGGAAGACCCTTCTGTAGGATGCATTTCAGGCTCAGAGAAGTGTACCATCAGCAGCTCGTCCCCCTGCATGGTGATCAACATCTATTATGGTGAGTAAAGTCCTAGGAAGGGGCTGCTGGTGGGGAGGCTATGGCTTGATCTCAGGGATGAGGGCCGCTTGGGGCCTGGGGTACAAGAAGAGAGGATCTGGGTTTCTGGGGCGCCAGCTGAGCTAATTTTTTAGCATCTTCTGAAAGGAGTTTGGGCTAGAGGTTGGGTCAGGGTGAGAGATGGGTAGAGTGTGGTGGGAGTGCAAGGTTTGGGAACTGTGGGAGGCTATCATATCAGCAGGAGTTATCAGCTGTCTACTCTTCTTCAGATGTCAAGATTCGCTTCACTGTTCGAGGCTGTGGACAGTACAATTCCTACCGCTGCCAAGAAACTCACAACACCTACTTCTCAGACTACTGGTATAAGGCCGACTGCTGCCAGTATGATTACTGCAACTCCTGGTCCAGCCCCCAGCTTCAGAGCTCCCGGCCTGAGCCCTCAGACAGGCCCCTGACCCTACCTCTGTCTGACTCCCAGATCCAGCGGTTCTACCAGGCCCTGAACCTCTCACTGCCCCTCCCTAGCTTTCATGCTGGGAAGGAGCCTGAAGGCCTGGACCTCCTAGCCACCCTGCCCCTGAACTTGGGCTTGTCTGTTGCTCACCTGCGTCGCATGTACTTGTTCTTCAACAGTTCAGGACTTTTGGTTCTTCCCCAGGCTGGACTTTGATACCTCCCCTTTCCAGGTTCCATTGTCATCCCAGCATCCTGCACTATCTTCTCTGAGAACACTCACCTTTGATAACTGATTTATTTGGCCTCCCTCCTTTGTATCTCCAGCATCTGTATGGCTTTGGTTTAATTTCTTCCCCTGAACCCCTGTGCTGTTCTTCCTCCTAGAAAAGAATCTCAAATGTGGATTCTGCCCAGGCTGACCTAGGAAAGACACAATGTCACCTTCACCCCTTTCCCTTCATCTAAGTGTTCCATCATCTCCACATCCCTTCCCAATCTGGCCACCTGCCACTTCTATTTAGATTTAGCTCTGTTTCCCCTGTCTTATCCCTCTCTCTGAGACCCAGTACCAGACAGAACTTCCAGCAAGAAGGATGAGATAGACGTCTGTGCATTTCCTGACAGAAGTCTGGTGTCCCTGCTTCACTGTCTTCATCAGCTCCTCTCCTGTTCTGATCTTCTGCCTTCTGTCCTCTCTTGTCACAGTCTTTGGCTTCCTCACCCCCATTTAACCTCACTATGTCCTAACATCCAGCTCTATATATGGGCCTGATGAGAGAGGAGAGGGAAAGGTCTCTTCTGTTCTGCTTCATGTTCCCTGTTTTCTTTCACAATAAACTGGCACTGGGCTAAATCTGTGTCACATTGTTTACGGGGTCAGGCTCAGATGTGGGCAGGTGGAAACAGGTTGAAGAGAGTTAATTGGGTGTGGGAGTCAAACAGGATTGCAGAACCCTGCCCACTCCTCTGGACCTTTTTGTCTTCCTTTTAGCCTCCACCTAAGGGCCCACATCCTTCCCCATACCCTGCTCAGCTAGAGATCAAAGCTTGAGAACTGACTCCCTGACCTTAAACATACTCTACAAAGTCTAGGAAGTTAAATCCTGATGATGCCAGGTTTTTTCACCTGAGAGAAAAGAAGAAACTTTCTCTTTAAACGAGGAAGACTCAGAAGCCAAGACCTGCATTCCAGAGTCACCTGGTGCAGAGATCTGGGCTCTTACCTGTCCTTATTTCTTTTCAAGGATCATGGCACCCAAAACCCCCTTTATGGGGGGTCCAGGTTGAGGGACGAAGTACAGAGAGTACACGTGGGGATTGCAGTGCTTCATTTTAATATTTTAGTTTTGAAAAATAATAGGGAATACAGTGATGGATACTCACTCACAAGTCAACCTTGCCGTAAGTTAAACACTGGGCATACTGCTCTGAGCCAGGCCCAGTGTTAAGCATCAGGACTCCCAGGTGAGTGCGACAGGTGTTTGTCCTTCTGAGTCTTCATTTTTATTTCTTTTGAGTTGGAGTCTCACTCTGCCATTCCCAGCCACTGCAGCCTCCACCTGCTGGGCTCTGGTGATCCTTCCACCTCAGCCTTCCAAGTAGCTGGAGCTACAGGCGTGCACTACCACACCCGGTTAATTTTTTTTTTAATTTATTGTAGAGATGAGGTCTCGCTAAGTTGCCCAGGCAGGTCTCGAACCCGCGGGCTCAGGCAATCCACTCACCTCAGCCTCCCAAAGCGCAGGATTACAGGCTGAGCCACCGAGCTGGCTCCTGAGTCTTGAAGCCTGGTGCTGGGGTTATAAACCTTTTTTTGGGAAAGCAGTGCAATTTTGTGACTGGAAGGCCTGATCCTAGCTCCTCTGCCACTTGGGGAAGTCAGTCCCTCAACCTCACTTTGGTCACCTGTCAAGTAGGAATAACACTTCACAGGACTGAGAGAATGCACGTAAATTTGCATATACATGTGAAAATTAGGGCTTCCCCCCCCAGAAAAAACAAATATAAGTGCCTTAGAATCACACACAGGCTTTTGGTGCTTTTTTTGTTTTGGGGGTTTTTTGTGGTAAGAGATGGGGGTCTCACTGTGTTGCCCAGGCTGGCCTTGAACTCCTGGATTCAAGTGATCTTTTGATCTCAGCCTCCCAAATAACTGGGACTACAGATGTACACCACTGTGCCCAGTTGACCAGTTTATTTTAGAACCTTTTAGGCAAAGCATTCAGTAGATTGTTCATATCATAAGATGGATTTTTATAAACTACACACCTGTGTAACCAGCCCCCAATTCATCATGACCTTTACCAGCACCCAAAGCTGCCACTTCCCAGCACTCCTCCCCTCTCAGGAATAACCATTGTCCTGACTTGCAGCAGCTTAGATGGGTTTCATCCGTGCTTGATGAAAATGGCATTGTACAGCATATACACTTACCTACGCAATGTTTTCCACACAAGCTACCAAATTTATGTTAATTAGGTCATGAGGCAGTTGGAGGTACAGAGGTGCATACTATCAATGTGTCCCCCACACACTTGGCTAGTCCCACCTTCCGCATGACCTCTGACTTCACTATAAGACAGAAAAGCCCAGGTTTACACAGCTGTAGCAGGTAAACTGCCAGAGGCTGTATAAAACAGACTGAGAAGTCGGGCTCGGTGGCTCAGCCTATAATCCCGCGCCTTTGGGAGGCTGAGGTGAGTGGATTGCCTGAGCCCGCGG